TTGTTATGTTTTTATATATATATAGCCAAATTTTTATTTTATTAATAACATCAAATGTTTATAACTTTATTAAATATTAATTAACTAAAAAAATTAATTTTGTAACTTTGTTCTTTAGGTTTTATTTTATTACATGTCACTCTCAATATAACAGAGGCCATGGTTCCAGTCTTTTACTCCATTATATCAAAAGCTCCACAATATCAAAATCTTATTATATATCAGATATTATAATAAATTATATAAATCTCTGCTATATCAAGTGAATAATATTTTAATTATCAAAAAAAAATTACTATTAATAAATAGTATATATTAATATTTTTTTATGCTATCATAAAAATAAAAAAAGCAAAAATAATTTCAACAAACCTGGATTTGCATTATATTATTTATACAGTATCAAATTATATAAAATTTATCAGACTGTATTTTGATAGTTTTAAATTTAGTCTAGTTTAAACTTTATAAATAGTATAAGTCTACAATATGTCTAGCTTATATTTTATCAAATTTAGATATGAATATTGCTGATATTTACTAATGTCGATAATAAGTAACCCTGTATATTTTGTTTGGGACGATAGTAACTTGCAATTCAACTGTTTGAGTTTGTATAACAGAATTGTAGATTGAGATTTGCAAGCCGTATAAAATAATCAGTGAGTCATTATTATGCTACCCAATTAATAATAATGAAAAGAGTAGTAAAAGTAATATAATACAAACCTTGTAGCAGATATTCAGGTATGCGATTAGATCCAAAAGTGTTAGAAGTACACAAAAAAGGGTTATTGAGACCAAAGACTAAATTATAAATGATCAAGTATGAAGATAAGTATATCTATATTGTGATTATTAGTGAACTAAATCAAAAACTAGGGGTGTTATCGGCTTGTATTTTTGACTATTATAAAAAGCCATTTAATGAATAAAGCAGAATAAGCAGATAACATTATATCAAAAACTAATTTAAGGCAGAGTAACTACCTATTTATTAACTGACATAACATTTAAATAGTAGTGAGAAAGTTAGTATATATTATTTATTTGAGTTATGTATATGTATCATGTATTATATTAAATTTGTGTTGAATCAAAACTTAAATGCAATGTTTAATATAGATAGGGTAGAAACCTATTTTAGATTAAAGAAATTAGAATAACTTTAACCTGATACAAATATTAATCTAACATATAGCATATATATAATAAATATTTATTTATATAAAATATAGTTAAGTCAAAGTTTAACTATATATAGTATTTTTAATATAAAATTTTATATTTACGCAATATATATTGTACTACAAACTACTAAAAGAATAAAATTTCTAAACATTAAGATTAATAAATTCTTCTAATATAGCTTGTCTCTTATTTTCATTACGCAAATAGATGATATATCTTTTAAGACTATATAGCTCTTTTATTAAAGACGAAGTAATTTCTAAATCATTTTGTTGAATATATTTTATCAAATTATCCAGCCCTACAATTGCATCCCCAATTTTACTATTTCTTCTTCTTTTTCTCCTTCCGATTCACTCTCATCTTGGCCATTTACTATATCGACAATATTATCAATACTTAAATCTTCCTCAATATTCATATAATTATCAATCTCAATATATTCTTGTATACTTAGAGGAACATTAATTGGTAAGCATTCAATAAGGTCTATAATTTCTGCTTCCAATTCAGCTTCTTCAGGCAGAGAGTTAGCTTCTTCAGGAAGAGAGATAAGATTGTTATCAAAATTTGTAAATGGAAGTATACCAGCTCTTTCTCAACTACGAATAATTATACTTGTAGTGACATTTTCCCAGGCTTGAGCTACAAAATTAATTGCATCATATATAGTAATTTCAGGAGAAATTGGATTGTCTTCAGTAATTGCTTTATAAGAATTAAGATGGTTTTGACAAAAAATATGTTGATATTGTGCCTACAATAAAATAAGTATAACTTAATAAATATCAAAATAATCACACTGTTATAAAACAGTTTATTTTATTAGTTTATTATTTTATCTTAGTATTATTTTATTATTTCGATATTTGTATTTTATTAGTTATTAGTTATTATTATATTTAATTTAGAGAAGAATTTAAAAGACATGTATAATGATTAGCCTTAATGCTTAATGCTTAGCAATTTACGATTAGCAATTATGCTTAACAATTAGCGATTACGCTTAGCGATTAGCAATTACACTTAGCGATTAGCGATTATACTTAGCAATTAACAATTAGCGATTACACTTAGCAATTAGCGATTATGTTAGCGATTAATGATTAACGATTAACGTTTAACGTTTAACGATTAGCAATTACAATTAGTACTAGCACTAAGTAAACTATGCTTAGCTATAATAATTAGCAATTAGCTCTAAAGATATAAAAAGGCTGTAAATTTCTCCATTTTAACATTAGACCTGAGATAACAACAAACTTGTTATTGTCCACCCCACTTCTCCTCTTCTCTAAATTCTCTCTTGTAATATTATAGGATTTTTTAGAAATAAAAACCTAAGGATAGCCTATCTTATTTATCTTTAATAAATATATATTTTATTTATAAACTATTGTCTGCCCGAACTGTCACAGACAGAAGAGTATAGTTTCTCTAAGAAGCAGAAATTATACTTACTTATTAGACACTGCTATAAACCTGTGAAGGATCTTTGTAGCCATATTATTGTTATAGTACTGCTGTTAAGAAGGCCACAGTACTGTAATATTTGATGTCTCTTAGCAAAAAACATTTTAAAACTATTACTAGATGACATTATTCCAGCTCCTCTTAATTAATAGCTATTACTAGAGAATAGTTATCCTGAATTGAATTTGAGTATTGCAAACAACAACCCTCTCCTTAGTTTATTTTAGCTGATACCTAAACAATATTATTTTAGAACATTGAAGGATTTCACACGAGCCAAAGTGTAGATATAAGAATTCAACCTTGAAAAACAATTGAAGGATTTCCCACAAGCCAAAGTATAGGTGTAAGAATCCAACCTCAAGAAACATTATTATTATTCTCTTTTCTATTTAGCCACAGACTAGCTTTAGACTTTACTCTATAACTGATAGAGTTACTCAACTATATAATGAATATATTAAAAACTACAAACACAAACATACCCAAAACTCTGCTCTTCTTTATACAACTTTACAAACCTTAAACCCAAATCTCTCTTGTCAAGCTTGCTTCTCTTCACCAAAAACCAGTACTTGCACTTTCTATTGATTTAATTTTGAAAGATTTTAGAATTGGTATTTCAACACCTATTCTGCTTATTCTTATACCTTCTGAATTATTGCAAATTTTAGATATTTAACTGTAACCTGAGACCAACCTCCTATTCGAGATATTATTTTTAGTTGCCAATACAATCAAGATATTAAAAACCCTAGAGAAATTGCTTTTGCATTACTTATCAGATATACACACTTTACTGCCTTACTTACTATTGATTTTGAATACCAAAACATTTTTAACTACTAAATTAACCTAGCTTATGATTTTGGATACGAGGAACCAAAACAATATGAAAGATATTTTAAAAATCTAGGACCTTCTATATAACATCAATCAGATGAAGATTATAGTTTTAGCTACTGAGACCAATAATTTATCCTAAAGACCCCATCTCCTCCTAGTTTACCATCTTACTATGATGAAACAAATAACCCTCACTATCAACTTCTCTAATATTTTCTTTAGAATACATTTAAAATACCTCAAAGACAATTTATTGAAGTAGATCTTCCTTGTCTCTCTTCCAGAAGCACAAATAAAAAAACATATTTTAGAAAGAGAAGAAGCTCCACCTTCAGAAAAACTAGATCAAGAAGACAATTCTGACTCTAATAGTACTGTTCAAGAAATCTTTACTTTAACTAAAACCTTTGAATTGCTAGAAAATCATCAAGAACAACTTAACAATAATTTATTACCTCCTAACTTAAATAATTTACCTCTACTAGAACAACTCGAAGAAAATCTATTATCATCTCCAGAACAACCTGAAGTTAATTTACCACTACTACAACTACATGTAACACCTCCACCAGTAGTATTTCCTGTAAATATAATTGAAAACACTCTTAATAATACTGCTCAAGCTATGACTGATCTGGCTTATGCTTTCACACCAAGTGGCAAAAAGTCTCTTCTCAAAATTAATTTCTTTACTGGTAATGGAAGCCAAGACCCAGTAGAATGGCTAGAAGAATTTAAATGAGCTACTATTGCTAATAACTAGAGTGCTGCTCAACAACTTGCTCTTGCCTTAGTCTATATGAAAGAAATTGTTGCTGAATAGTTCTGAGGTCTTAATTCAGTACCTAATGCTTTCAAAAATGATAGTTAACAAGCCTGAAGCTTTTACTATCTTTTTAAAAATAAATTTAGCTCAACTAGTCAGAAAATATCAAATGGCAAAAACAACTTTTGACATCAAACAAGAAACAAACCTAGTTGATATCTATGTAATTCGCTTTTAGAAGTTACAAGTCCAAGTAGACTCTACTAATGTTTTCTCTGGTGAATTTATTCTTTAGCTCTTTATCCAGAACTCAAACCTGAGTATGCTATTGGTGTTCAAGCTAGAGCACCTACCAACCTGAATGCTGCTATAGATGCTGCTAGAAATTGAGAAAATGGCCAACTTATATCCGCATCTACTACAGATACAGACCAAGCTATCAAACAACTAACCAACCAGATAGCCCAACTTAGCATTAACCTTGCTTAACAAAAACCTGCACCTACCTTTATATACTATGCTGAAAACCCTACCACTGCAAACAGAATTAAACAGCCACCTACTTGACACTATTGTAGACACACTAGATACTTTGTTGCTTAATATTGTGCTAAACAGAAGAATCAAATATGATTGTGAAACAGAAGCTGAGATCATTACAATAATCAAAGAAATGATTGATCTAGAAGCTGAGACTGAAATTACTTCAGATCTTTTGATCGAAATAGATTAAGAGATAGAAATAGATCTAGAAGCTGTGATAGTTATCCCTAATATTGAGATTATTCTCAAGAATGAGATAGCTACTATATATACTACTAAAATAGGTTTTCAAAAAATCTCTATTTCATCTTCATTAGAGCAATTTGAAATTTTTTATATGCAAGAGCAAATCTAATTTAGGTAGTTATGTTCCTTATAATTTCATCTCTTCAAAAAAAGTGTCAAAAAATTTTGTCTTTTAAGTAAAATAGATCAAAACAATTTTGGCTTCAAATTTTAAATTCATATTCTGAAACTTAAAATAATTTCATTAGTATGTATAATAGCTACTACTCCTATGCTGAAAATTCTAGACAATTCTCTTATCATTCACCTTCTCTTTACTATCATAATGTCAACTATCTTGACCAGAACTCCAAATCCTCTTTACCTATAAGTCAGAAGAAATAGAAAACTCTCAATAATTCTTCTATTCAAAGTGCTCTCTTTGCCTATCAAAGTCAAGAAGTGAAATCCTTTGCTATTACTTCTAAACTAACCATCACTCCTATCAAGTGCAATGTTAAAATTAGAAACAGACCTTACCAAGCTATTGTAAACAGCAAAGCATCTATTAGTATGATTGCTCATAAAGTAGTTTAAGAGCTAGGACTCAAAATCGAACAAGCCTCAACTAGCCTTATCATCTCTGCCACCAAAACTTCCTCTTGACTTCTAAGAATTATTTGAGATCTGTTTATCCAGATCAAAGAAGCAACCATCTCTATTACTGTTGAAGTCATTGCTGTGACTTCCTATGCCTTACTTCTTAGAAATGACTGGTTCAAGAAAGTCGAAGCCAGTTACAACTAGAAGAATAGCTGTTACTCCTTTAAGTAAAAGAATTACAAGTACTATACTCCTACTACCTATGAGAATGACCAACCACTATCTGCCCAATCTACTATAACCAACTCAGAAGAGTTAGATCTATATGACCAAAAATATCTGACTCCTAAAGAGGCTTATGCATTTGGTATCAATCTTGACTCAAACACAGATAACGACCATAATGACAGATAGTTTATTAACCTTGCCATCATATTTAAACTCTTTCTTGAATATGTAAAAATTGTGGTTTATCTGCTTATCTCTTTGCTGAATGTTCTACCAACTGCTGTAACTATTGCAAAGGAATTAGACATATCACTATACATTGTCTCTTGCAAGCTCCATAATGAACCTCTTGCCAAATCTGTGGACAAGATCATCTATACTGAAGCTGCTCCAATAACAAATGTCATGAATAATGAATTTAGACATATTGCTGTAGACTGCTCCCTATAGTTTTCTATGAAGACAGAACAAGATATACTAGTATAGCTGTGACCCTAATGATATAGCTACCCAGAAGGCCTACTATCATAGCAACAAACAAATCCATTATTGTTATTGATGCAAGAACCCAGAAAGATCAGAACACCTCAAAGTCCTTGACAACTAATTAGTATACTGAGTATGCTATATAGACTTCCACTATAATTTGGATTAAAATATAGAAAGAGATACTATAGTACAATCAGTACAAATTCCATTATTCTGGTCAAGTTTATTTTGATACTTGATATGCAGGCACTCTGTATAAAGGTTAACAGGATAGATAAAGCTTCGATGAAGGTTAACAAGAGCTAACTCTTTACAAAAGTCTAGGTGGTTAGTATTAAAGGATTGGTCAAGAGTTGCTTGTAACTGAAACTATTCATCCTTAGTTAATAGATCTTGTTCAGTATAAAGAATGAAGCTCATTTTATTATCATTCTATAACTAGTCAGTTCAGTCAATCATGAAGGGTTCTAATACTTTGGCTATGTCTTGA